AAACTCTTCGAGAGAAACGAACAATAAACAACAGTATCACAATTCTTCATCATCATCTTCCTCCTTCTCCCCTCCATCCTCCTCAATTGATGGTGAAGACACAACCTTACCAATAGCAGCTAGAAGGGACCTCTCGTTCGAGGAAGGGAGGTCCTGGCCTGAACCAAACGTGTTGAACATCCATAACACAATTTACCAATAAGTGATCCTTACCAAGTTCCCATATCATAACACCACCCAGGCCCTCTTCAAGGGCGTATCTCGTCCTTGCTTGAACCTCTTCTGGAGTATCATAAACAAACTTATGCTGCGCATCGGGAATGGTAGAAATCTCCGAGTACGTTCGAGCCTCTCCAGTCTGTAGGTCTCTACCATAAAATGGTATCTAAGGTTACTTATTGGAAGATACAGAATATGTCCGAGTCACACAACACACTAAAAGACTCATTCCTTGTCAGGATGCTAGTGTATACAGTTCACATGTCCAACAAAGAGGATGGGGAGGTCGCCCAGAAGTGGTGTCGACTGGACTCAAGGCACTGGAGGACACCACCTGGGCTAACCTCCTCCACCTAGTGGACAAGATGGTCAACTGAAACATGCTGCCTGGCAGTTTCATAGCACAGCCCTCTCACCCCCAATGCGAGCTTCCGTATATCCAATCCTCTTTGCTCCCAAGCTTCCACAACAACTCTAGCCAGGTCCTCCCCTTTCCCTTCAGGATGTTCATAAGACATCGCCAAGAAGTAATCGCACTGTTTGGCAAACCTCAACTTGGCTATCATGTCCTCTTGTAGACCACCAGGCTGGTACCTACAACACTGTGAGATAATATCACCACCATATCAATCAATGATTGAATAATAGTCCGATATAAAACCCATACCACTCTCCTGTCACTTCGTATTCACTGTGTCATTCAAAAGACGACCACTGTCACTAAATGGCCTCTGAACTGCTTCATTCCTTAGAACCCATCCCTCTCACGCTAGAGTGATGATCGCTGGCTTCTCCCTCTTCCTCAGCTTCACCTTCAACCACCGCAACATCTGCTTGAAATTGTACCATTCAGTTTCACTCTGTGGATACTCCCAATTAAAGTCAACTCCATCAAGTTGGTATTTATTCAACAGATCATCAACCTGCTTGATGAGCCTCCGGACATCCCCATTGTGCGCCACCGCATCAGCGAAACCAGAGCTCCTTCCCGCTCCTCCAATGCTGACCAACAGTCGTCCCCCATAGGCATCGGCAGCAGCCCTAGCCTTCTCCAAAATAGCAGGGCCAGGTAGACGCTGTTTCTGTTGTATTATACCGAGATAGCTGACCTCAACGCTGAAGAATATCAAATCGGTGACACCGTGTGAAAAGATACCATCGAAATCGACATCATCCGATAGGCGATACTCTGGAAGGTAACTGAGATACTACTGGAGCAGACTGGTAACCAATTGTGCTAGTAGTCTACCCGAACACTCTGAATCGCTCTTGCTCATCAGCAATAACCGTGAAGGCTGATAATAGCAGCAGGAGGAGGCATGCGAGTCGGGCCATGAAATGGTAACAATACGCTTCCATAAGACACCGTCACTCGCCACGAAATTACCACCAAAGACAACGACAATCTTCTACACTCACAAGAGAGGACCAAGTCGTGAATATAGCATCGTTAATTTATGGAGGCTTCGTCCATCTCCTCTGTAGAACTCTCCGGTCATCGTCTTGGCATGCCCATCAAAATCTAATACTATGAAGCCACCGTGAGGACAGCCATGGTAGAAGAACTCGGTCCAATAGGGAGAATGCCTGATCCGATACACGACAGATGTGATGGAACCACGTAGAACAATACACCCGATTTCCATAGGAGCTCAACAATAATGAAAAAGGACCGGCGTTCCGTACACTACTGTGTTTCCCTCATGACTGTTTATAGTCTTCCAATTGAATGTCAATGCTACTTCACAGTGATACATGAGCCCACGGAGATCGGGTGTTGGCCTACTTGAAGAGTCTAGGTGGACCAGTATAGCATCTTGCACCCGCTCCTGTACTCAATAGATGAAGACCTGTCTCTGAGTCATACCTAGCCATTCAGTAACAGTAAGAGTACTGCTTCTATTCATACAGATGTTGATGGACATGGTCATGGCCCGAGAGGTATGCCGTAACCCGATATTTGGTGAATATAGGCATCAGCAGTCGAGACAGTCGGTAGGTGGGACCATGCTCAGCCAAAGACCTGTTATTGACGATGACTTACTGTCAGTCTAGGAGGCCACCTACCAAATAGGGTAGTGACCAACCACTAGGATGAAGTCGGCAACACCATCATGCTTCGACAAGGCGTTCTCGATCCACTCCAATGCAGACCGCTGAGTCCTCGACAACTCCTACCGAATTTCGTGGAGGCGCAGCGAAATTTCATCACCTCACTCGATGGTCGCCATCATACTCGCTCATACATATCCCCTCCCCATCTCGGCAATTGTAGGAAGACCCTTCCTCAGCCAGACCGTCCAAAACGATGGTGTCAATCATAACAACGAGCACTTTGACAGCAGCTCCTACGCTCAGTACATGATAATGGAATAAGGCCGGGAACCTCCATCGAGAACTGTGTTTGCTGTATCTACCAATCTACATGTATTTCTCTACAGAATCTTCGTTGCGGAAATTCAGAGGTGACGGAGAAGTCATACCACCACGATCCTATTCAGCACGCATATACATGCGTTCAGAACTAAGAGTAGATAATCGTTAACCCACCCTATCTGAGCGGATATATTCCCAATATGGTCGTGGTTGCCTGCTACGATATACCAAGGAATACCCTGTAGACTAGGAGACGAGAAAACGTCCTCAAAGGTGCTCTTGAATCTATCATCGAACTCATTGGTAGAAATACCCCCTTCATAAAAGTTGTCACCAGTACCTACTAATGACGATCCTTTGATAGTAGTGAGAGTACTACTGCCCTCACTGAGCACAGCCATGACCGATCTATCCTCGCATACTTCACTCATTGCTGTTGCTGTATTCCGCCTAAATGAGGCGACTGATACTCACAAGTCAGCGACAGAGGTACTCATCCGAGCTCCAATAGGGCGGTGTTCCCATCCCACCCCAATCACCAACAACTATCATAGACGAGATATCCACCTAACTGAGGGAGACAATGTCTACTGCTCATCCTAAGGGGTCTCTACGTTTACAGTAGACGCATCTTCATTATCAACATGAATGGAAATTCTGTCTTTAGGTGAACTCTTTATAAACCATCACGAATGGAAGCATTTGAAAGTGAGTATTTTGATGGCCCTCGAGAGGCTGTGGTATTACTTTAGTCCTTCTCCCATCGACATCGCCGTAGTTTAGAGGATCTCGAAGGTAAACGTCGGCATTCGCCTTCAACGGTAGAGTTATAGCGAGCGACCACGACAGAGCAAACGACACTATCAATAACATATTCATAAAGATCAAACTGCTGCTGGTTTTGCTAATACCACTCCTTGTTGAATTCACCACAATCAATATCAAGTACGACCCGATTGAACCTTCCTGCCATCTACACCGTGCCAACCTCACTAGTCGAGATATACTCAGTGCCAAGTCAGCCCTCTGTCACTGAACTCAAGAGCTAGATAAAAACCTGATAAAACATCGCACTGCATCTACCACGACGTGGGTCGCCTTATTACGGAGGTGAACACTCCCTCGTCTGCACCTACCTCCAACAGACGATGATCTCTGGTGGGGAATGACCATTCCTGTGTCGCCAAACACTCTGAAAAAGGCCTCGGGAGTTTCGTCGGAGTGCTCGTTTTCGAGCTACGTTGAGAAGGTGCGCGGTTTGACTGGTTGGGTTTCTTCGACTGACTGCTAGGCTGAGTTACTCATCAACCATAACACTCATTCAGAGGCGCCAAAAACAGGTCCCTCCATCATGACCGAACCCGACGAGAAACTGCTTGATGATAACACTCATTGACCATAATAAAGTGATTAAGTCTGGAAAATGGCGATTAAAAAGTGATAGTGATGTGGATTTAGTGAAAGCGTCTGTTTATTGTATGTCCGGCTCAGTCGTCTCGGTCATTCTCCTATGATTGCAACGTGGACACCTCTTCCGAAGCAAACATCATCTGTGGGACCAAGCACAGAAATCTCCTCCAATATAAACATTGAACCGAGTATAACGCATCGCAATGGCGGTCTCGGTTCCCTAGGTATCAGGTATGAGAAACGATAACCGTACACGACTCCACTGAAGTGAACTGGTCAGACCGACTCAACCCTCCTAATATCAATAAATGACGAATAAGATTCAATTCATTCGCATGCTGGTCCCGCTAACAGAGAGGCTCTGTGACAGTGTGTCGGGTGATGATACCGGGGCCGCCGCCGCCGCCTCACGCTTCTCTCTTCCACGAGCTCCGATGGTACTGCTTCTTAGCTTAGTGGTATTACGGGGCTTCAGAGATGTGCACGCGACTGGCAGCCTCGTGACCTATGGCCTTGTTGGATGGCACCGATAGATTGATAATAGAGTCGTACACCTGTAGTCGAGCCAATAGTCAAATCAATGTTCTTGCTCTCCTTCCCATAGTGACGATCGGCTGATTTCCCATAATACTCGAGGAGCTTTGCGAGGCCGGGCAACGCAACCTCGCCACAGAGCCGACACGGATAGTCCCAACCTATAGGGAAGTACTCGAGGCGAGAATTCAACCCAACCCGCTACGTAAATCGGCCTTAGTAGCTTCGAACGAATGTCCGCAGGGCCACTTGCAAAGACAACATTGACGCTGATCGTCAACAGACTCTGTGAATGACAGAACGGTGTTAATGATGAGAGTTTGGAGGTTGGGTGAGGGAGAGCCTATCATGAAACGACTTTGTTAGACATGCATAGATCACGCACTGGTGTCGACAGGGACGGGAGTGAACTTATTTGGACTCTTCAACACGACACATGGATGGCCCGTATCTCT